TGTGTATCTGTATGTGTGTGTGTGAGTGTGTGTGTGTGTGTGTGTATGTATGTATGTGTGTCCGTCCGCAAAATGAAGTGAGTGAGAAGGAAGCTCATGGGATAAACAAACCGCTAACAAATCGGGTAGCTTACAGGATTTGAGATATCAATGTTTTGTAGCAGGATAGTTGTGATAACACTCTTAGGGCTATATAAACACCTGCTTAGCACACTTCCGTTCATTCCACATGGTGCTGCAGTGGCAGCTGGAGGGCAGTGGAGAGAGGAAGGGAGGATGAGGAAGGGAAGCGAAAAATCTACCGTCATATCATGATTGTGTCCCTTCTACTGTATGAAACACCATTGTGTTGCATACGCGTCACTTCCACGAGGTGTTGGTGTCACAGGAGGAAGGGACCATAGCGGAGGATAGAAAGCTTGCGCAGGAAAGGAAGGTCCCGGCGGTTGACGGGGGACTAATCTGGTATATAAATTAAAAAATTTAATTCTCAAACTGCTTCCCTCATAGCCAATATCTCGTCGGCAGTTGGCAAGCCTAGACTATAATAATATAATCGGCTAAGCGGTTGTGTGTGTGTGTGTGTGTCTGTGTGTGTATGTGTTTGTCTGTCTGACCGGAAATTCATAGCTCGGGCACCAGTGGTCGTCAGGAGTTGGTTTCAAGATATGATATAGGGGGTGGGACGGGAACATATTTGGTGGGGTAAAAGAAAGTGATCACTACACTGATATGCTGACAAGGCGCTAGAACGCAAGTGTCGCGAAATTCATAGCTCGGGCACCAGCGGTCGTCAGGAGTTGGTTTCAAGATATGATATAGGGGGTGGGACGGGAACATATTTGGTGGGGGTCACAAAGTGATAACGACTGATAAGAGCAGATAAGAGGCGCTGAACACAAATTCACGAAATTCATAGTGCGCTTCGCAGCAGTCGTCAGGAAGCTGATTTTGGGACATGATATGGGGGTTGGACGGTAACATATTTTGTGGGGGTCAAAAAGTGATAACGACAGATGAGGACTGATAATTACGATATGCGTACGAACGTAGAGATTACTCGAAACCAGATTGCAGATAATGCATTTCATTTCAATATCATTTCATTAGCGTTATAATTGTAAATTCAAACACCTTTCAACCGCTACACCTTCTTCCTACAGCTTGAACGATATAATGAAATGCTCCTAACATAATTTATAAAGTGAAATACCTGGCATTTCCCGCCTTGAGATACCCAAACAATTATTCACGGTCCGCCTAATTACCCTCTCGACGCACTATGGTTGTCTTACACCCACACACTCTAGCTGTGCACCTTCACGCGCATTTCATCCAATCAAACAGTGAGATACAGCACAGCCAAGATGGGCAACGGACAGTAATGCATTTAACGAAGCAGCTATAGTTAAGCGGTGAAACCCAAAGCTTCACCGATTGTCAGTTTTGTCAGAGGCTTCCGTGTCATGCGCGCGGTAGCGGGCGGAGCTAAACTGGTGCTTTATATTCGGTGGAATCTCCAGCTTAGAAGTGGAAGCATCAAAATAGCAAATTTGACTTCTACAAATTCCAGTTCGGTCGAAATGTAGCAAAAATGGCTCGTAAGATGGAAGTGGTGTTTGGTCACGGATGTGCTATCAAAGGAACTGTATACCACCCGTTCCAATCTTTGATCATCAAGATGAGAAGGCCGCTTATGTGATTCTGCGCTCGTTACCCTAATAGGAGCTGGTGGAACAAAACACATGCTGCTGTGAAGACTAACAGGGGCCTAGGTTTAGTAATGGGAACAGGGAAGCCTAGAAAGGTGGAGAAATGGGTTTCCGTTGGACATGCAACTGCTGATACATCGGTGTTAGCTGTTGTCGGCGTTTGTTTTGCGCAACAAGAACGATCCCTTTATCGAGTTTTTTTTTTGAGAAGGACTGGAATAGATCCTTTGTGACAGGTTCGGCTCAGTGATAGAGCCGCACTGGAGGACATTCATTTTTCAAGTTAAAATATGTCAATTATATTTCTTGCTGAGTGTACGGTAGTCTGCTTCGGGCCTGATTCACGACAGCCCCTTGAAACTCAGCGAAACAGTTACAACAGAAGAGTGAATTTGGAAGTTGAACCAAATCGCTTCACCTCAGTCAAGAGGACTTATCCTTCCCCACAGCAATGCGCGGCCACACATCCCACAACTAACGTTCCAAAACCCGAACAAATTGGGATACGAAGTACTGCCCCACACATGAGATTTTTCGAACCTCTCCCCCATAGAGTATAACTCCTTGATGAGCCCCGACAACTTCTTGAAGTAGAAAGCTTCAGTAGTTGAGCCCAGGTAGAATCTGACTTCAGCGGTTTCATCGACTCCAGAGCTCCAGACTTTCATGCAAGAGGAGTAAATTGCGCTTGTTCTTTGTTCGCGAAGATGGGACACTCCATTGGTTTTATTCCGATTTATAATGTTTGCGCTAAGCTGGGTGTGTCGTATTGAAAATGAGTATCAAAAACTGACATTAATTTCTGGACAACCTAATAAAATGACGGCTGGCCCACAATTTTCGCTTCGACCCACCGTAGCTGGTATGAGATGCAGACGGTCAAGAAGATATCTTGAACGCGATAGGTAACACTTCATGATGTTTCAAATGTTTTTTATTCTTTTGTGGAGGGAACCTTGTCGAAAATTTGTCCAACGATACTTGAACGATTCCCCACACGAAGATGAATCAGGGAAAGAATAGTGCTTAAGCATGTTTACTGTATTCCAGTGTCCCATTTCAACCGTACATTGAGAAATTCAATTTCACTCATCTGTTCATTTTCCTTGAATTGAGAAAAAAATTGGGGCCTGTTGACAACTCATGAATAACGTTTGTTCTAATTTAACACTCGCGTGATTGACGGCAAGTCGACACGATGACTCTTAATTGAAGGCCTAACAAACTGACGAGTTCGTGAGTTGTGAGTAGCAGGTTGAGGGCTTGAAAGAAGTAGGA